TACTCACATACCCACATACAGTCCTACCTACCTACCTACCTACCTACCTACCTACCTACCTACCTACCTACCTACCTACCTACCTACCTACCCAACTAGGGGGCTCTTGTGGCCTAGAGGTTAAGGTGTTCGCCTGTCATTCAAAGTCCCGGGTTCGAATCCGGGTTGCGACGGAAAATGTTTTTGTCTTAAATTGTCCCCTTTCACCTCCTTTCCTGCTCTCTAGCAATGTTCTGTCGTCTGCTTTCGGCTCCACTTTCTCCTCCCACCCCTTCACCTCATTTGCCCCCTCCTCTGGGTTTCTGACTCTTTCTGCAGCCTCTCTACTGCTACTCCTTGGCTCCTTCTTACTGCTGTCTTTCAGCCACACCCCTAATCTTCTGGTTGGAAAGATCTACACATAGATCTAGCCTTGTCGGGCAAGGGCAAAAAGTCTCGGAGGTCCCGTGTGCAAGTTGAGATCCCTTGGTGGTCTAAAATCGATAAGAATGGGCTTTGGCTGCCACCCGGGCAAAATTCAAAATATCCTACTAACTAAAAATGTATGGTGTGTCTTGCGCGCTCATATGACCTTATGCAGTTCATACACATATGTGATGCATCATTGTGAAATCAGGCTCTCGCCAAAATAATGAAATCAAAGATATCAGCATTTTACGACCGGTTTTGCAATTTTTTATCGAATTTTTTTATCTCAACATCTTTTATGTCCATTTCTGTGTAGATTTTACTGAAAAACGTTGATTAAAAATACAGAATATGTAAATTTGCTGTTTCCAGGGATTTTTGAAGTCACCAAATTTTGGGGGCCATTTTCTCGCTAATTTTACCTCTGAAACCAGGCGACCCCACCTCCTTCAATAGCAAATATCGCAACTTCTTCTATTCAAGGTAGATGGGTATTTTTTTCAGTAAAAGCAACACAAATGAACAGGCTTCAAGATTATACTAATAACTCCAAATGCCCAAAAATTGACGAGCGCCTGATTCACCGTGTCGTGACACATAAATATACCTACACACATACATACACACATTTGACATGCGATCTTGATACCTTCTTTATATCATGGCTTTTATCCTATATTTTTATTTCTTCATTTTTATCCCTAGAGCAACAGTCGACCCCTTGACAGCACACTTGGCTCTCGAGGTCGGAGCGGGTTCTTTGACTCAGAAAACTCCTTTGATCGCCAGTCGACGCAGTCTGACTTTCGAAATGCAGGGAAAAGTAGGAGCAAAAGGAAATGTATGTTGTTTTTTTCTTTTGAACTTTCTAATATCGAATACATTTTTAGTACGGTCAAAAATTTGTGGCGCAACTTATTGTCAAATGTTTCCTAAACTATAGAATATAAACTCTCCAGCTTTTGCATAATGATTTTATCAATTTATTTTAACAGATCAATATTTTTGAAAGCATCTGTTACCTGTATTCGGAGATGACTATCGTAGAGATATTTCACTCGTCAGCTGGCCCCTCTTCACGTCATGTTATTTACGCGAGATTGGTGGCGCAATGCCTCAAAACTATGTCACGCCGTACATTTCATAGTCTGTTCCTCTCAAAGTCACTCCCTCTTGTTATTTCCTATAGTTAATACCGCGGACAGAGACAGGAGCGAGGAGCCATCTCAGTCAATACGTCGGAAGTAGTGGTATGTGAAGTTGGTCAATAAATGTGCGCATAATTAATCAATTCATCAAATTTTTTCCAGTGAAGGAGGGGTAAGCAGAGTTTGTTTTTGTTTTCTTAATTTTAGTGAGAGTTTTACGGCACTTGCAACACAATAAGGTCATTTAAGAGCAGAAGAATAGATGCGTTACAAGAGAGTTACACATAAAAAAGGAGGAGGAGAGATAATGACCATAGATGCTTGATAGGAAAGAAGGAGTAAACCACACCAGAGAACCCGCTAACCATCCACGAAGAAAAAGGAGAAAAAAGAAGAAGAAGAAGAAGAAGAAGAAGAAGAAGAAGAAGAAGAAGAAGAAGGAGGAGGAGGAGGAGGA